AATACTCCTGTAATATTAAAAAAATATTTATGACATTTTCGAAATATTATAATAACATTATTTTAATTTTTTAATAATATTCATGTAATATTCTAGGAACATTTTGCGCTTATAGGGATACAATTATTAAAAAAGAAAAAGTACTAGAACTACTGGATAACAAAAATCCTTTTTCCAAAAATCGCAGCAAACGTGACTTTTTCTTTGCTTCGTTCCCAAAATTATTCTTAGAAAACTTACGATTCCATGACGTCTAGGGAAAAAATGTTATATAAATGGACATATTTTATATATAATTATATATGAAACATTTTTTTCCCGGATATCATGTATTTCAGCGATATTCGCTATTAGTTGAATAATAATATCGAATTTTGAGCATAATTTCGCTGTATACGAAAATTGATGGAGTGGGGATAAAAAGCCAGCTTTCCTTCGCTGCATGAAATTATTTAAAATATTATTCGAAAATACTATGTAGTCATTGCATTGGCTGGATATTGAAAGTATATGAAACTCGATGAATTAAATGCAAAGGTACATTTCTATTTTTTTTTTTTATATTGGTTGGTCAATTAAGTTTCAATGTCCATTTTTATACGTTCAAAATTGACGCGTATAAAAAACAAAATGATGTTTAATTTCTTAATATAGAAATGTGACAAATCAATTTATCTGTACAGTAGACGTTATTAATGCTTTTCAATTTCAAATTGGAGATATTATCATAGAATTCATATCGCTCTAAAATTTATATATTATGATTATTGATAAAAACATGAAATTTAATAAAACTTTTTTTACAGTGTGTTATTTCATATCTTTAATTGATTTTTAATTGAAACATTTTTAATTGACGAACATTTTCGCCTCGGACTCGTATAATCGCAAAGTTTTTGTTCCTTTAATTGTTGGTGAATATAGTATCTTCACTCTTCTGGGTGTTCTATTCCCCAAATGATGATATGGAACGGTCACTCTCTTATTGTTTATAAAACAGTAGTTCAGTTTTTCCATAAATCGCTCGACAAAAGTGCAATTTCTTTCACAATACCGATTTCTTATAGATGTATGCCCCGTGATTCTGTAGCTTCTGACTCATGAACCTGAATGTCTGATATCTGCAAAGAGCACACCGTGAATGCAAGAATCAAAAGAAATTAAAAAATTAACAGACAATAAAAAATCAAGCCTTAATATACACGATTGGGTCATTCGATTGTGCGTTTCTTTCTTATTTTTTGAAATATTAAATTTAGAAATATTGAATTTTGTTATATAAATAACGATCTCTTTTTTCTTTTTTTTTTAAATACACAACTTGTAAATATTTTCTAAAGAGATTAAAATATATGTAAGAATTACTTCATAATTTTTATATACTTATAAAAATAATGTAACCCGTGTAATTAACTCGGAATACAAATAATCCACTGTGTGTAGTGAAAGACTGGAAAATTATCGTGTACATTAAGAGTTAAGAATTAATTAGCCAATAAATCAGAAAAAGTTGAAAATGAAGAAAAAAACTCTTAATATTAACAATCAATAATTATATACATAATAACAACAACAGAAGCTTAAAAGTTATCCATTCACTTGAGTTCACATTTTTATTCCCGGATAACTGCACATTGGATCTCTCGCCAGTTGCACGTTGCGTTTTATCTCTAGCTGTAGTAATCTTCGATGTTTCGCTTTTTAATCTCTTTTTAATTGCTTCTTGTGGATCCCTAGCCATTCGATTTGCGATAGTGCTCCTTATCAGCGTCGTCGAATCCGCTACAGAGGTTGAGACCGAAGAATTTCTCACGTGTGAGCTAGCGACGTTGTTGCTGCTTCTCAATAGATTTTTAAAAACATTTGTTTCTCTTGTTTTACTCTGAGATCCTCCTGTATTTTTCAGATTTACCGTCGAATATCGGTTACCACTCGACAATTTGCTGTTAAGGTTCAACCGCGCGGTTGACTTTTGTACACGTTCGTTTTTCGGAGTTGATGTAAAGTTCGAAATTACGGGAAACGTTAAGAGAGATGGGAAACGATTCGACGCGGTTGAATCGCGAGATACATTCTGCAAGTGTCTGGACGAGTTACTCGTAACTCGCGGTACTAAATGCCGAAGTTCTGTCTGCAGCTTCTCGATCTCGTCGAGGCGCACCAGGATATCGTCGATGTTATCTTCGGCCATTTCGGGATTTTTGTAACGCAACGATTACATCTTGAATTTATTATTTTCTTCCCTTGTTACATTTTAATTTTTCTGAAAATTATTTGTCTCAAAATTGAGTGAACGATCTTCAATGTGAAGATCGTTCATATTTTGACGTTTAACGTCGATGCGACGTTATTATAGAAACGGCGCATCGTTGACTATATAGTGTTGATTTTTTTCATGGTGGAAAAAGACTTTCTTCCACCATGGTATGGTGTTGATTAGTAATTATGTTTCCAGTGGTTAGAAGAGAAATAAATGGAGATACTTTTCGAAAATTCTGATAGATAATAAAGTTATTTGGCGTTAAGAATAGTTTTTGTAAAGCAATATATGAATTTAATTTTTATTATTATTATGCATGTAAAATATATTATTTATTACTATACTAAAGTATTAAATATTATGTATGAGAGTTTTATTTCTTTTTCATAATAATTAGCAGTTTAAAAGTAACTGATGGACACACATGTTGGGGACACAAATAATGGACTAACTTCCAACTCGCATCACTATTCATCTGAGAACGCAGAAATTAATATTGATAATATCATCGCTGCTGTAACCCAACTGAATATCAGAATCTTTCGATTACGAGAAGAAATTGTCGCATTTAAAAATGAAAACATAATTCATTCAGCTATGACGAATAACTTAATAAGGTATGATTAGTAAGAAATTAAGATATATTTTTACAATTTTTGTAAATAAATAGGCGTAAATACATTTTTGTTACTTAGAATATATTGTAAATACTGGATATACACAAAAAGAAAGGTTTTACTGAAATATCTAAGTACGTCTGAAAATACTTTCGTTAAATCATCAAAATAATTACATAGAACGCTTAAACATTGATAACAATAATGTTGCAAAAAGTTTCAACATTCTAGTATCGCAATTTGTATCTAATTAATGTTGACAATTCAAACAAATTATTTTCAGATCTGCATCTATTATAGGTACCTTTTAGATAATTTAGCAAATCTATTCTTTCCATGAATATAAATATGGAATAGACTTTTTCTTAATGCAATCAAATTTGTCAAAAAATTAATCCTTAAATTATTCTTCGCTGGTTTTCGTTAAAATGTGATCTACCTTTTGTGCTGTAAAATTTATATTCAAAATAATAAGAGCAAATTGACTTGCGACTTGTATATTTTGTTACCGATTAATACTTCACACATGAAAACATTTTGATGTTCCAGTTTAACACCAGCAGGATTTAATCATTCGACGAAAAAGGGAGAAAATCAAACGGGAGTACGGTACGAGCCGCGAAGAAATTTTAAGAGGGACGATTCGCCAGGCGGCACTGATTTATCCGCTCGTTTATCATTCGCGAAACGTGCACGGGAAGTAAAAGCGGCGAACGAGGCGGCCGTATTTAAAGAGGATTACCCGCGTGACGATAAATCAATCGAAGATGATGAACGGCCAAATAGATCGCGCGTGTCTGAACCGTCGGGAGCGTATCGAAAGTCCATTTCGGACGCCGAAAAATCCGAGAAAGAAACCGATGAGAGATCGGGAGATGCAAGAGACACTGGGGACGCGAGAACTTCGCGTGTTGCAAACGAGAAGCTGAGGAAACTTAACGAGAGTCGAAACGAGGTCGTTAGCGAGACGAGCTGTAGTCCTGCAAATGTTTTTACATCTAAAATTAAGAGAAAAAGAATTTCCAGAGGAGTACAATGCGTTTCAACCGAATGTCGTAGTCACGTAGGTCAATTTCTTCTCAACTGTTTTAAATTGAAATCGAAAAGACACAGTTTGAGGCGAAAGGCAAAGAGGAAAAAAGCTTCAGCGAATAAATTTGATGTTGGACCACGAATTGAAGTGAATAGATGGCCAGGTGCGATAACAATAAGTGACGAATCTCATAACGTAATGAAAGAAAAAGTAAGTGATACAAATACAAAGAAAGACGAGTTTGAGAAGATGAGTGAGGAGAAAATAGAAAGGATCGCTTATGGAAACGATAACGGATTATCCGTACAAATGCAAAATATGTATGACGGCGGTGAAAAACCGAAAGATGATTCGAAATATCGCAAAGTGAAAATAAATCTTCTTGAAAAGTTGCGGCTGAGAAGAGCTTTAATACGTAAAAATGATTCGAAGGCGCAACAAAACGGATCACGACATGAATCTCGAAATCGTAAAGAAGAAATAGCTAAACTTACTTACGAAAATAAAAAAGTAAACGGCGCTCGTAAACGCGAAGATAACTCACTAAATTCACAAAACATAAAAATCGTTGATCGCGAAATGGATTCGAGTAATAGATGGAAAACCATTATAACTGCTGATGGTAAAAGTGACGTAAATAAAATCAAAGAAAGATTGGATTCGTGTATTGCCGAATTAAACGAAATAATCGGCGATGCTTATGCGATATTTGGCAATAAGAATTAAGAAGCAGCAAAGAATGTCTAAAGGTATGTTAACTTATCAAGTATTGTTCCCGTATACTTGTATTATTTTTGCGGTAATCAATTAAAATGTGGATAGGATTAATTTTATTAATAAACTTTATTAATTCTACCTACATTTTAATTTATCAATTAAAAATTAATAGAAAGAAATACTGCAACTCTAGTTAGTTGCAAAAATACTGCAACTCTATATCGATTGAGTTAATTTTTCACTAAATTAAAGTGACTGAAACCTTAATTAATGCGTCGTCTGCAATACATGCGAGTAAGAAGTAAGAGTAAGAAATTGACCAACCACGGTCGACTGTGAGAAGAATACTCGACTGTGATTGGTCAGTTTCTTTCTCTTACTTCTTACTCCGTGTATTGTAGACGACGCATAAGTGTGTACATATTTTTAAAATAGCAGACGACATACACACATATCACAACGTGGCCAGTGAATGGAGTGAATTTTTGACACGATATTCTTTCTACGAATATGCGCGTTGTTTTTCGCGAAACTTACGGAAACGAGAAAGAGATAGTTTATTTAAAACCAAACGGTAAGATATTCGTGATGTACTTGATGATAATCGATCAAATCATCCTTTACACATCATAGCAGCCGCATCTTAACTCTGCATTGATTTGTTGACAGTTGACACCTGTTGGCCAGATGATTTCAGCACAAGTGAAAGAAAATTCGGTCTCACCGAATCACAAACCGTTCATTCTCGGATTACGTCTGTCTTCAAACAAATATTTTTACCACAAGGATATCCGGACAGCGTGCATCCTGACTACACGGCGTATCAGATGTGGGACACGGTACAGGTTAGTTTAAATCTCCAAGTAAACATATTTGATATATGTTTGGTTGATACGCTACAATCTTTTTGTTATTATAATACAATATTATTACAATATATTATAATGTAAGATTTTTCTTTTTCTATTTTGCATTGACAAAGATTCATGAAGAAGAAATTAACATTTTACAGGCTTTTGCGAGTACTATAACAGGTACGCTGACGACTCATTCTATAATGAAAGGGATAGGAGTTGGAGAGTCAAATGCTACACCTTTGGCAGCAGCAATAACGTGGATCTTGAAAAGTGGCACTGGGATGATTGGGAGTATAATGTTTGCATGGTGGAATGGGTAAAGAACAGACAACGATGGATATTCTCTAAAAATATTTATTATGCAATACGTAACAAACTACTTGTACTTTTATTAAGTAATGCAACTTTTGTTAAGTAATGCTAAACAAGATTTTGCTTCTTTCTCTCATAGAACTGAATTAGACGGACAATGTAAAAAATGGAGGCTATTTGCTGATATCTTGGATGATGTAGCCAAAGGATTAGAATTACTTGTACCATATTTCTCCTCGTATTCTGTTATAATTTTGTGTATTTCAACCACTATGAAGTCCATTGTCGGTGTTGCTGGTGGGGCTACGAGAACAGCATTAATTCATCATCAGGTATAATTATTCGTGTATATATTAGCTTTGTGCTAAGATTATTACTTTCTTGTCATAGGCGATACAAAATAATGTGGCAGATGTCTCTGCAAAAGATGGAAGTCAAGAGACTTGTGTAAATCTAATCGCATCATTCTTTGGAATCTTTATATTATCTTTATTCCACGACGGACAGTATGTATCTAGTATACTTATCGTATCTGATTGCTATTATGAATTCTTTTAATAATGATGAAGTGATATATATATATATAGATATGTACTAGAACTATATCTCTTCCTGGTAGCAGTCCATCTCTATGCAAATTATTCGGCGGTTAAAGCGTTATGTTTAGATACACTCAATGAAGATCGTCTGGCTATAATCATTAAAAATTACATGATGAACGAACAGATTCCTGAACCATGGAAAGTAAATAAGGAAGAATCAGTATTTCTACTTAAAAATCCTAGTAAGATATTAAAATTATTTTATCATTTGTTTTCACTGTGTATAAGAAAAAATTTCTAACAGTTTATGGATATTATTTTTAGCCAGAGGTATACATGGTTTTGATATAAAAATTGGTGTATCGTTCGCCAATATTTTGAAAAAAAATATAATTTCGCTCACAGAAGCGGAATTTTTATTAAAATCCTTTGAAAACAGGAAGTATATAATAATGATAGATATTGAAAAAAGGAATATATTTGTAATTCTCAAAAAAGATATACAATCTGTCGAAATACTGGAAGCATACTTTTATGCTTCCATGTGTGCTTTCTACCTTTGTATAGCAAGAAAAATACCAATAGTAAGAAATCCAAGCTTTTTTTATATCTTTTGTTACTTATGCATATTTTATTATAATTATACTATGATATCACACAGGATATGCTATTGAAGTCTGAAACATCCGAAATATCATATCTATTGCTGAATACATATGTTCTGCAAAGGATAAATACTGTTTCACATTGGGACATGTCAATAACTTTACAAAGTGTCAGTGCTACAGATGTAACCGTCTCTAATGAGTATAAAGCATTTCTTAACAATCTAGAGATAAATGGTATGTGATTTTATTAAATAAATGATTTAACATTAAGTACAAATATAAGTATTTACTAATAATTGTAGGATGGAAAACGGGAACAAATCTATTAGCAATTGGAGCATGGAGATTTTCCATGGATAATAATGGATAAT